CTCTTCCCACAGGAGCCATGTGGTTTCCAGTGTCTCCTTCCCACAGCGATCCACAAAGCCCTGGCCTACAAAGGCTGTGGTGGAGTACTGGCAGGGTTTGGGAGAGGCAGAGGGGGCTGAGGGCTTGCACCTCAAGACAGAGACACCTGGGCCACCTGATGTTGGCAGGCAGACAGACAGATAGACAGACAGACACCACGCAGCACATTCCCTGGACAGAGAGATGGACCTGCCTGCCAGATTGGCCAGATGGGCTGACTCCACATCACCTGGACAGACAGATGGGCTCCAACTCTGCCATGTCCCTCAGACACACAGATGGACACCCCTGCCACCTTTCCCAGACAGACTGCCCCGCTACCCACCCCAGACAGGCACCTCTCCCATCAGCACATCCCAGGGTAGAAGCAAGTGTGTGTGGCCAGTCTGTGCCCACAGCCAGAGTTTCTCTGGACATTCTGAGTGCTGTGGGGGACCAGCTGGAGGGCTCTCCACTGCCAGCACGGGCAGGGGATCGCCGGCACTGCTGTACCTGAGAACTGCCAGTGCACGGTGAAGCCGAAGGTGGGGTGTCTCTTGGCACCAGGGTGCTGCTGGGCCCCTTGCAGGGGTGACCCCAGGCTCTGTTTGTTGGTGGTTGTCACAGCAGTGTGGTAGAAGCCCGAGAAGGTGCCGGCTGTGTTCAGAACCAAGAGGGTCATGTTGGAGCCCAGCTTGTTCCTCCACAGGCCCTGTAGGTCACACTGGGGACCGGGAGTTGTGTGGGTGCCTCAGGCACTGCTGAGCCACGGTCTCCTCTCCAGCCTCCCTGAGCAGTGGGAGGTGTGTCCCATGGCATGGCCCCTCCATGTGGCAGCCGGGAATGATGCCATGGGCACCTACTGGGGCAGCATTTCCCTCTCCCTGAGCAAGGGAGAGCTGGGGGTGCTGGGTACTACCCCATCCCAGGGCCAGGTGACCAACAGTGTCTACAAGGACAGCACAGTCTGAGCTGGCAGCCCCTTGCTCACACATGCTGCACTGTGGCATGGCATGGCATGGTATGGCATGGTGTGAGAGATGGCATAGGATGGCACATCAGGTACCTCAAGGCTGCATCAGAGCATTCAGCCCCTCATGCAGAAAAAAACATAAAGAGTGTGAGCTGAGGTGGCACAGGACAGCACTGCATGGCACAGTGAGAACATGTAAACCTTTCCCCCCCAGACCCTGCACAGTCTGCCTCAGGGCTGGCAGAGCATGGCACAGGACAGCATGGCACAGGACAGCATGGCAGAACAGACAGTGCCATAGCACAACACAGCACAACATGGCACCAGAAAGCACAGCAAGAGCAGGCAGCCTCCTTGGCAGCTTACATTGCACCCCGGGATGGCAGAGCCTGGCACAGCAACAGCAGGCAGCTCTGTGCCTGCTCACAGTGCAGCACAGGGATGGTGGTGCACAGCATGGCACAGCCAGGGAGTCCAACCTCATCCAGCCACCCTCCTCCCCAGGATAACACAGCACAGCATGGCCAGACTCTGCCCCAGGACTGCCCTTACCTTCCTGGTTGCAGCCTGCTGAGGGATGAGCAGGACCAGGGTAAGCAGCAGGCAGCAGTCGAGGGTCCCCATGGGGTTGGTGGTGGTGGCTCTGCCTGTGCTGCTGCCCCACGCCCACTCAGCCCCTTCCATAGCAGGGGGGGCTGTGGTTGGGCAGCGGCCGCCCCTGCCGGGCCTCCTGCCAGAGGACAGCCGGTGGGAGATTGGCCACCGACCATTGCACCAGCTGAGCCGGGTCTGGCTCCCCTGGGCCAGGGGGCTCCTGGGGACCATGGGGGGGTGTGGCAGGGCTGTAGAAGAGGACCCTGGAGGGTCACAGCAGGGGACACACATTGGGCCTCAGGTATGGTTACAGAAGGGACTGCGTGATGCCATGGGGGAATGGGGGAATGTCCGTGCTGAGCCTTGGAGTTGTCGTCCAGAATAATCGGATTTGTTCCTCGGTGTGCAACAAGCCAATAATTACACACTCGACAGAGTCACTGATAATTTATCTCAGAGTTGCACAAGTCTGGGTGTTCAGGAGTATTCCACAAATCAAGCACATTGGCTATCAGCACTTTTTCCTGTTTACACATTTTAGCTAACTAAGGCATCAATGTTCTTTGGCTACAAGTTACATAGTTCTTCCATTAATTAGTATGCTATCTGCTATTCATTAGCAATTCTCTGATTTCTCCTGCTAAGTAGTCTGCAGGCTCACTCTTTCTCTTCTTTTGAGTCAGTGGGTTTCCAGACTCAGTGGGCAATAAGTCGGTGGTCACGATCTCCCCCTGCCGGAGTTACTTTCTACCCAGTCAGAGCTGGTTCAGCACAGTTGCTGAGTTATCCATATCAGTTCCTTATCTTGGGGGTTCTGCCAAATGTCCTTGTGGCCCCTAAATGCTGCGTTCTTTTGGTTCACTAGCAGTGGTACATCCTTCTTCCCAGGATTTGTTGACCTCCCCCTAGGTCTGAGATCATGGAAGCCTGTCCAGCCCTAAACCACAATGAGGCAATTCTACCAAGAAGTAATTTGTGTTTCTAATACCCGGATATCACTTAGAGCTTGTTAGCTGCTATCTGTTTCATGGATTAAATCTCCCTTTTTGTTGATCAATCTTGAAAACATACAAAGATCAAACATCAAAGAACATACTTTTTTAAGAATCTTTTTTACATATTCCACATTTTTCAACATCAGGACAGGAAACAGTAGAGATTTGCAACAAAGCTTTATTGGGAGAAACAAGTGGTGAGGTAGGAGTGGGGGCTTCCCCTGCAGTGTTGCTGCCGGCCTGGGAACACCCCTGCTGCCCTTCTCACTCCTTCTGTGACTGCACACGGGTGAAGATGTTGGTGCCGACCCTGCAGGGACACAGAAGAAGATGTAAGGGTGGCACATGACAACCTCCAAATGCCCACCCAGCCCTATATTCTCCCATAGCATTTTCACCTTAGTGGGACTGCAGAGGCTGTTATTTTTACATGCTTTTACCCATGCAGCAAGCAATAGAGTGAACCTTGCCACTGAACTTTGCTGAGTAGCACTTTTACAAACTGATATTGAATCTGCTTTTGCCAACACCTTTGACAGTGACGGTGGAAGCAACACAAAGCACTCATTTGTAACAACTCCAACAACCCCCCAGAGATGCAGAGGGGACCTGTGCAGGGCAGGTACGGGGAGCTCACCTGGTGGCTTTCCAGTCATTTTCAATGCTGTCCACGCGTGACCGCAGAAGCCACATGGTCTTCAAAGTCTCATTTCCATCCTTGTCCACGAAACATTGTCCCGTGAAAACGGTGATGGAGTCTGCAGGGACAGGACAGGAGGTGGAGTGATGCATGGTCAGGATGGCAGGTCAGTGCCTGACCCAGCACACGGGACAGTAGAGCCCTACTGTCCCTGGCCCCTGGGACATTGGGGATGTGGAAAGCAGGCAGGAG